AGGACAACTTTAAAAATAAAATAGGTACCAAACAAGTACAGGGGGTGTTCACTGCATGTCTAATTAAAAAAGGAAACAAATGCAGCAATGCATCATGGGATATAAACTGCTACTGGCCACTAAAGTCTGATGAAAGCATTCCTACAATAAAATATAGATAACAGAACCAGTGTAAACTACTTCAGATAAAAAATAAATAGCAAACCAAAGACACTGCTGTTCTATTAATGATTACTTCTCACTAGTGCTGGCGTGATTACAGAACAGAGGTGCCTTCAGGTTACAGAACCACTATTCTGTGCACATTAATGACACTGAACACGACTGAATCCTCCAGTGACAAACTCTGGACCTTTCACTTTATAAAGCTGCATCAACGTGAACACTGTTCTGCAGAGTAATGTATTATGTTTAAGCCACATGATATTAGCGTCAAACGGTGCTTGCTTACCTTTGGTACTGCAGCCTGAAAAACAAACTCGGTCATGTCTGCCTCTGTTGAGTTGGATGCGTGGATGGTGATGACTGCGATGTTTGGGTTGGGGTTAGCTCTCTCAAATGTAAAGTCTATTTTCAGACCGTTCTTGTTGTACGCCGTCATGGGAGGAATACCTGCACGGAGGATAATCAAAGGATTTAGAGACACGGCTGCTTACGTTTCACTGGACAGGTCATCCAAGATCTACAGAGAACAAGTGCTTTATTGCGTCTGTTTGGTAGCGGACGGTCAAAGGGAGCAGCAGACTCTCACCTGCAGCTGCAATATCATTAAACAGGGGCTGTGAGGAGAGGCCATCCAAGAGGAAAGAGGGTTGGGAAGTGGGCACTGAGGGAGCAGGAGCAGGGGCTGGACCGCCTGGGATGGGAGAGCAACACACCGGGGTTTAACAGGACATGGCTACACCAATAGACTGTCTACCAACATAACAAAACAAAAATGGATGTATTCTTTATAATCAGCTCTAGATAACATTCACACATCGTCATCAGTCAGACAAATTCCTGAACCAGTCATACTTTGAAGAATAATTCACTTTCACCTCGTTCATAGCAGCTACTACAGTTATCATGATGGACAATGTGTTGCTGCTTTACAGTTTATCTTATTATATCCAAACCACGCAGCGAACAGACACGAGCACGGGCTGGACTTCACAGACGGAGGTGTTTACCAGGTCCTCGCTGTGGTCTAAAAGGATTAGCGGAGAGCTTTCAACGGAGCACCCTACCACTTAGCGAGAGGTCACCCAGCAGATCAAGGAGCTCTCCTCCAGCCGAGGCGGGCTTGGTGGGCATCGTGGTCTGGATTACCGGCACCACATCGTTACCGCCGAGCAGGTCTAACAAATCATTAGCCTGAGGAGCAAAGACGACACGGAAACATGATAAATGTCTGTGATATATGCCTTACTAAATAACAATCGCATTACAAAACATATTTATTTATCAATTTAATAATCATTTTCTTCACAATCATTTAATAAAAATCTAAACCGTCCATGTCAACTGAAGACAACTAGATCTTTTAGTGAGAAACAGTTAACTGTCATGATTAAAACAGCCTCACCTGGTTGGTCGGCTGTGTGACCGGCGGTGGATGTTTCGACTCCACCACAGACGGCTCCGTCTCCCCGTTTGTCTGGACGATCTCTGTGGGGCCATTAGTTGCAGTTTTCTCCATGATGGGCATTCGCTCTAGTAGAGCTGGTCTATTGTCAGGAAACAGGCAGAGAAGAAAGACGAACCGAACTCAGCCACTCATATCTACCGACTGGTACTGGTGTCCCTGTGATAGATGAGAAGAACGTCATGTAGTTTCACCTCATGTGGTCGTATTTCTTGAAAAGCGCGTTGTACTCCACGGCTCTCTGCTGAAGCTCCACGTCGATGCTGCTGCCGTATATAGAAACCACCTTCTTGATTCGACTGAAACAAAAAAAATGAACGTTTCAGGTAAACAAAGGGGAGCTGGCTGTGGTTAGTGAACTTCACCATGTTTAAAAACAAGTATTTGCAAAGAAAGCGGCATTTTTCAAATCGTAATACTGACCATGGGTTGCAAGTGAATATCAAAAATCACATCGCTTGTACCGTTTGTCAGAGTGTAATATCAATAATACACAAGCTAAATGCATTTTAGTCATTTATGAAATAACTGTAACCACATGCAGATGTCAGATAAATGTGTAGACTTCTTTCCAACTCAGTGCTGACTGATATACTTCCTGTTTATACCATTTCATTTAGCACACAATCCACAAAGCAGTTTAACATTTAGCATGAAAAATCTTTTCATTTTCAATAGTTTAGGGGATACCACGGAGTTGAATGCATATTTCCATTGTGGGAGGATAACTGTTCTTACTTTACACTGCTGAAGCGAGTCGACAGCTTCATGATGGCGGTAAGTGAATAACCCCGGGTCACAGGTGTGGACAGGTTGGACACCAGGAGGCCTTCCAACACGTCCAGAACTTCATCCTCAGTCACCTTAATTCAAAAGACAAGAACAAGCACAACGTCTGAGTTTGCCTCTTAGGTTTGCATGGTCTTCAGTTTGTTTAAGATTTTTCCGGTTGTACCTGGATGGGCTCCTCCTCCTCACACTGCCCGGACACTAGCAGGTCTCCGTACTCTCCTATACACCAGGACGCTACCTGCACTAGAGGTTGCTGCAAAACAAACAGAAATACAAGTCAGCCTTTCTAGTCCAATGCAATGCAAAGATAGAGATTCCTCCAAAGCCAGAGTTGCTCCAACCTGTGAGATGTCATCCAGCAGCGCTTTGTAAAGTCTCTGTACTGTATAGGCATGCATCTCCACGCTGTTAGTGATGAGCTGGATGAGGTTGGGAACAGAGTCGTCTCGCACGTAGCTGCCGGCCTGTGAGGATGAGCACAGACGTCAATAAAAAAAAAAAAAAGCAAATTAAACTGCACAGTAAATTAGTGTTTGCTGCAGAGGCCTGTTACTACACCCTAAAGCTGCACAAATTATTAAATATTATTCACGATCACGATTTTCGCTTCCTGCAATTAAATGAACATGAATGAGCGCACAAGAAAAAAAAAGTGCTTCACACACAGAAAACAGCCATGTAGAAAAAAAACACCTCATTTCAACATGAGTAAGTCTCTCTAGTTCACTACTTTCAAAGTATTTTTTGGTCACACACTTGTCTGAGTCTTGTAGCTGAGTGGGAGGACTAGAGTGTTCTCTGTGCACAGCTAGCTAGCTAGCATCTACGCAGCAAATTCAGGCAGCGAACCTTATTTAAGTCTGGAAAGATTTGAACATTAGCAGGAATGTAGCACGACATGAAAGTGAAAACAGTGCTCCGTTTACTCAGATGTGAAAGTAAAATAGTTGAAATTTCATGAATTAGTAGACTATAGTGTAGTGTATATGTTCAAAGCACATTAAAAAAAAAAATACCGATAAACATTCAGAAAAGATTTGAAAAAAGAGAAAGTGTGATTTAAAAGGAACTGAGATCTTTAAAAAAACCAGATTCACAACTAAAGCGACGGAGCGTTGTGTTTCTGTGACAAGAATCCGTTTATGGAACAATCTGAACAAAGAAACCAAAGAATCAAAATCAATATTTACATTTAAAGGAACAATTAAAGGCAGTATGTTGAGGAGATGTGTTAATCATGTCTGATTGTAAAGAGACAGTAAATAGTCATGTCGAATTTCTGTTTTTAAGAGTATTAAAGAAAATGGATCTAAATGTGACTGTCAGCTATTTCATGTTATTATTATTGTTTTTGTTATGAATATTTTGATGTTTGTTGTGTTGTTGTTGATGCTTTATGTCCTTGGGTAAAGAGGGCAGATAACATGAGACTATTCTTCTTTCTGCTCCCTTTCATTCAGAAGTCAGGAATGTTTGTGTCGTGTTTAATTGTTTCGTTTTAACTCAGTGAATGAAATAAAAATTTAAATGAAATGAAAAGTGCAATAAAAATGTGTTTTCCCTAAAAATTAATGAATAAATAAACATCATGTAAATATTCTTCAAAACAGTTCTGATTCTTTGGTCACAGTTCCACTTCATTTAAGATGTTTGATTTGTTGTACTCAAGGCAACACGTGAGTGAATTAAATCTCAACAACATTTTAGGCAGCAGAGTGTTGTTGTCGTGTACGTACCGTCGTCAGGACTCTCATAATGGTGTCTATGTGCCATCTTTTCGAAGGAGCATATCTGCAACACAAAGAACGCATCGATTAGGACCGAAACTGTAAAGACGCAGAGTTGTCTAAACTCTACACGGGCATGAGACGAATGCTGTCAGAATACAAATGGCATCAACATGGTCTGTCAGACGATGGATCACTCATTTTATCATCATTCAGCATTTCCACATGAGCTACCGCGGTGGTATCACAGAGTTCTAGCTGGATGGATATCGCTGGAGTAAGCTGGAAACTGACTGTATTCTGTAACACAACAGGCTTGACTGATATTTAGTCTACATGTATTGGATTCATGCAGATACAGAGACTTCTAAGATCTTCTCTCTACCTAAACACCCTGAACTTGAAGCAAGAAAGAAAATCTTTTGCAACCCTGCACACGACGAGGTCAGGGCGTGTTATTAACTACAAATGACCACAAACTGTTGCAGCATGTAGGGAAGCCGGTGTGTTGTTGCCATACTTCTCTGCAGCTAGAAAGACTCCTGATGCACAGTCTGCTTTGAATTCAGGGTCGCAGGAGTCCAGGAAGTAGAGCAGCTCTTTCATCATGCCTCTAATGTTGTTGCCGTTCACCAGGGCGAAGCTCAGTTCCATCGCACGTCTGCACGGCAACGAAACACAGACGAAGGTCAGAAAGAACGAGGCCAAATAATAAGAAACGAAAAAAAACTGCAGTTGAAGTGATTGGATCGGACCTCTTGATGGACACATCCAGGTCTTTTAAACAATCCACAATGGTGCTCCGATGCCTCTGCACCGCATTGTGATCCGTCTGTACCGTCTTTAGTAGAGATGTCAACGCCACGTATCTGGATAATTAGGCAATATCATCCAGAATTAATGACATTTTAAATTACTCTATGGTTGACAGATCACATATGGCAGGTGAATTAATTACCTTATATTTTTGTCGTTGTTAAGAAGGAAGCGACCTAGTATGTTAATGGCCAAGACCTGTAAGAGAAAAAAGGCATTTAGGCAGGATTTAAACCAAAACAAATGCTCCTATCTAGCGTTCCTTAAATTAAAACAACTCACCCTCAGTCCACTTTCAGACTTGATGTCCATTATAGTCAGCACGGTCTCGTACAGGATTGCATTGCCTACATTTTTACTTGTCTCTGTGTTTGTTGCAACCTGCAGGTGAGTACACACAACGAATCAGTCAACAGAACACTTAATCTCGTCGAAGCTGTTAAATCTAAGATAAGATCACTTTCAAAGTCTAACCTGTGCAAGAATGTCATTCATTGCTTCACTGGAGTCGTCGTCGCTCTTGCCTAAAATCCGCAGTAGTCTCAATATCCGCACCTGAGGAACGCAAACAAACGTCCAGTCCGGTCAGTTTGCTCGGCAACTGTGGTTTGTTTCATTATCTATTTCTATTGCCTTCATCATAATCTGGTTCTTTTTCCACTTGCTCTAGCTATAGGTGTGTCATTGCACACTAGAGGTTTCTGTAAATCTGACTAAATAAAAATATTAGTGACAGCAAAATGAGGGCACACCAAAACTATCAACTGCATTTACTATCGTGGGGGGGTAAGAGGGAGATTTACCTGCAGGAAAGGGTCACTTATGCCTGACACATCATGCTCAGGAGAGTATCCAGACATTATTAGGTTCTTCAGGATTCTCACCAACTGTGGAACCAGCTACAAACAAACCAACAGCAGAAGAGAAACAAGGAGTCAGTATTTACTGTGGATCTCGTTCGTATTCTGCTTTTTCAACATTTCAACAACGTCATTCATGTTTAAAGTTAATAATTTCTCATTCACAGCGGCAGCCAGCCAAAAATCATTAAATTCACATGAAATGAAAGGGATTCTTAGTAGTAGTATGTCAAAAAATGTATTGTTGAAGTTGTAAAATTAAAACCTTTGATTTGTACGCAAATATTCGGTTAGAACATTTGGATTTGAGAGAAACACTTGTGTCATCGCTAAACTATACAGTCGTATCAGACAAATGTTTAATACGATTTCAACAAAAAAAATCGGATTGTGTTAAGATAGGAAACTTATCATTGCAGTAATTTTTAAATAATTTTGATCTCTTAATGTTTTCTACAACAAAATTAGCTTACAAGGGAAACAGTTTGCCTGCAATGTTTTCAACCCTTTGCATCCAGTACAGTGACAGATCCAAAATGCATTTAGTCTAAATAACACAAAGACTAGCAGCAGGGAGCATGCTAGCCCAGCTGTTGCATGAAATGTCGACTGCTGCATGTACATAAAATAAGTCCGGAGTTGTTTCCACTTTTTGTTTTCAGCATGCCTCCAGTTTTTCTGTTACACCAGACTGAACACGTTCCAGACCAGATCACTTTACAGGACGCGCAGAAATGAAATCAATAAATCCTCTCTGCTGTTGGGTGCGACGACAAACGAGCGTCCCCAAATGCCAGAGTGGGATTTTAAAAAGAAAAAGCTCCACTTTCTTAACATGATGATGTCCCAGCACTACTTTGGCCAAACTCTAACTCTTTCCCAAGACCAAAAGCCACCTCTCCACAACTATGTAAGGTACAAACTTCTAGTGACACAGATAATAGTGAAAATCCTCTGTTCCTGGTGACAACACCCGTGGCGACCACGTGAAAACACACCCACCTGAGTGCTTTTAAACAGACAGAGTGATCGAATGGGTTCCATATTAGGCAAATAATGACATTCAAAACAATAGTGATAAATGACAAAATGGACCAAAAACTCTTGGGAATATTCAAAAAACACTGACATAGTAATGATCACCGTACAAGTTAACGAAATTAAAAAAGGCTAAATTAAAACACAACATGACATTACTCAACACAAATCTGGTTACGTCTGAAGTGACTGTGAGGAGTGATTACTATTTACAGCATGCACCAGCTATGAGATCAGAATGCACTCTTACCTTCTCATTCTAACACAATGCAGGAATTGTAAACGAAGACAAATGACAGAAAAAATATGAGGTAGATGTTAGGGAGGGGAAACTGGAAATCATTTACTTTCAGAGAGAGAGAGAGAGCTTAAAAATAATGTTCAGATCATGAGCATGAGGAAGTGGAGCTTCTGGCATAGTTTTTGTTACACCTAGAGGAGGAGAGGTACAGCAGCAGTTGAAATACAAGAAAGGAAAAAAAAAAAAAGACAGTGGTAGGAGATAAAAGACTAAGACATACTCTGAGGAAAACCCAATCTAAACCTCAAACAGTTCAACATGTTTGCCTAGCTTTAGCTCGAACAAAAGAAAAGGGAAAATGAAATGTGACGTGAGCTTAAGACAAATGCATAGCTAATTACTATAAGCTCCGTTAAGTAAGAGAATCTTGTTTGTACCTTTCTGAAGTGGGCCAGCATGTCAGGACTTCTTTCACACATCTCAGTGAGGAGGACTACTGATGTGTGGAGAACACCTGTGTGGGAGGGGACAGACAAAGTGAAGCTCATTTGCTTTGTATGAAAACGTCGGCAAGAGGTGTTTTGCTCTCTGAATTACCCCCCTGATAATTAGAGCAAAAACAGCGCTGCATTTGAAAACATGAGGAGGCTGCTGGTATTTTCTGCAACAATGGTGGTCAGGTTTATTACAGCTGTACAAGTTGTTTGACTCACAAGGACAGCGGTTGTGTCCTCTGCATGATATCAAATAAGTCGATTAGCATATTTAGTTTTATCTCGGCTGTGCGGTTCGAGGCGATACAGTATTGCTCAAATGCACAAAAAAAAAAAGGGCAAAAGTCAAATTTGCTGGTTGTGCTACTTGGCGCGCTCACTCCAACTAAAGTGTTTTGACAAGCAAATGAAAAACAAAGTGGCGTTCACAAGGACACCCAAACATTCTCTTCCTGTTTGAAACAAGTGGCGTAACTAACAGCAACCACCGACACACACGACAAGGTATTATTTACCAACATCCAGGAATTGTGAGTTCTTGACTGACAAGTCGCAAAGAGGCTCAAATCAGACGTAAAAAAAAAAAGAAAAGACGTTTTTGTCACACGGGCTGATAAACTTCATGGCGACCTGCTTTCAGTGTTACAGGGTTGAAAACTCTGGACTGATCTTTGCAGCTGTTGCTGAAAATTGCGCGCAAAAGTGAAAAAACACGTGTCATTGACGGGATTGTGTGTTTGCAAGTGACAACACAGTATACAAGATTGTGGTCTAGTGACAAATTGCGTAACCACGCTTGCATTTGAGTCCACATTAGCAATGTGTGACAATGCTTGTTGGATGTTTGTGTATCTGGGCGGCCGGATAGCTCAACAGCTTGGGCAGGCGACCCATGTACAGAGGTTATAGTCAGAGGCTGCGGTTCGATTCCAGCCAGCGGCTCATTTGCTGCATGTCCTTTCCCCATTCTTCTTCCCGTGTTTCACTGTCCCATACATTAAAGGCAGAAAAGACCCCAAAAAATATCTTTCAAAAAACAACAAAAAAAAGAGATTTGTGTATGTTATGGCCACATCACAGCATCTTCAGTTTATTCTGGGTGCGCCATGCAGGACAGATGATAACGATCTTTAAAAACAGCAACCAAATGAATGCATCTTCAAACTGCCCTTATCTGAACTGCCACTATTGCATCGCTGCACAATGCCAAGTGAAGGAAGGTCAAGTTGTTTCAGCACCGTCACAAAAAAAATCTCTCCCTTTGGCCTATCTCCTATATGTGGGGGACACAGAAGCCCTGAAGTTTATGACAGACTCATTAATTCCACTATCCACCACCGTAAAGGACGCCACAGAAAGGACATCAGCTGCCCAGCTGTTCTGAGTGACAGGAAATAGGACGAAGTCTGCCTTTGTGTAGGACATCCACATTTCCCCCCAACGAGCCAGCAACCGTATCCTGACAAACTATTTGCACTTACCGTGGTTCTTCTCGCTCAGCAGGTTTTTTGTGGCTGGAAGGAACATTTCCATGAGTTCTGGGACCTTCCTGATGACATGAACTGCACACAACGCTGCCTGTGGACAAATATTTAAATAAGACGGTCAACCTTTAACACAATGCCGAGTTCCTGAGAGTCGAGTGTAACTTCAGTCAAGTACAGATTTAAGATTCTTCAGGTATTTGTGGAAACGAGACGACAGCGTTGCTTACTTTTTTCCTTAAATAGGAGTTGGACGTTTTGAGCAGCTTCTCTACCTCTCCTGCCAGGTCACGACACATTTCTGAGGATCCCATGCAGCCTAAAGTGCACAAGGCCAGGCCCTGGACATATTGTGTGCTGTGATTCAAATCACTGGTGGTGGGACAAAAGGAGTAAAATGAGCCACGGTAACACAGAAGCGTGCACACAAGGACAATTTTGAAAGCAATGAGAAGCACATTAAGATATAATATGGAGGAGGATTTGGCAATAAATAGGCAACAAGTCTCTAGTGGAGGAAAACAAAAGGTTAAATGTAAAAGTTTCATTAGCAGGTAGGTGTTGGGTTTGTGTTTTAATTAGCATACTTAAAAGTACAAGTCTCAATCAAGCACTAATCACTGTGCTTGTGAGTTGCAAATAAATAATATCTTACAAGCTGAGTGTTAAATATATGAATCTAAGACTTCCACTTACTTCTTAATGCAATTTGTCATTAGTAGGTGGACATCCTGCCTCTCGTCCAACAGCAACATAGCTCCCAAATAACCTATTCGTTTGTCAGTGAACTTCTGGGACGCAATCAGCTTCAGACACTCCAGCTAAAAAAATAAAAAATACAAGTCATTGCATTAGGAAGACATCCAGGAGTGTAAACTGTCATTCTCCCACTATCACCAAACATACCTGCCCAAAGTGTGCCGGGTAGCCCAACATGTGCATATAAAGGAGCTTCGCCACATTTCTGCAACGGTATGTATTGTCTTCCTCTCTGAAGGACGAGCGTATAGCAGCGCACTCTTTCTGGATCATCTCACGCTCCTCTGCCTGGGTCCGTGCTGTCCGGATAGTCCGGATCAGCTCCCGCAGTCTGATCGGAGCTGGCATTCTCTGGAAAACACGGAGGGAAAGAAAACAGGTTAGCAACCAGTGCTTCGGGGTTGGCACGAGATTGGGTCACAGCAAAAGAGGAAAGCTACTCTTTCAATGAATACAAGTCGATGAAAATAAAACTCTTCACGCTACAGCATTGTATATCACTTATATAATCAAATATGTCAGAAGAAATTAGCTGCACTCTTAGCTAGCAATAGTAGGTTTTACAGTTACCAGGTAATAGCAGCACATTTTCTGAATTTGTGCTTTAACTGAATTACTTCCAATAATCAAGTTCTGCTGAAACGATACCCACAGATATAACCCGGTACAAGTGAAGGAAAAATAAGTATTTCTGTGTTTTTCAGTAAACAAACCACCTTTAAAAAATGCAATTAGGAAACTGAACGATGGAGATACGAAGCAGATATGACTATTCCCCTTAGAACTGCATTTTTTAATAGACTTAGAAGTGCAGAGGGAAAGGAGAATAGCAGGTGAAATTCAATTCCCTCGCAGAGAAGCTTCTGAGAGCGCACTAGCTTTAAGCCAGGGGAAGAGGTTTAAATATTTATAAGAAGTACATGCTTAGTTGTGGGAATAAGTTCTCATGCGTTTATATGTACCAATTACAATTTACAAAGAAAAGCAAGAAAGCAGATCCAACAGCTACGATGCTTGGTTCTTCAAAACAGGCCGGCAGCAGAACAGAAAAGCTGTCCTATCAGGCAGATGCAATGATCTTTGGAAAGTATTTCCACAGAATCTAAGATGAGCAAACTCTTCAATAATACAAGACAAGGTGCTTGAATCTAATTCTGAAATATCGTCAAAGAAAATAAGAGGCAATGCAGTTCATAACAAAAAAAAAAGACATTGCGTTTATCGAGGCTGTTTGTTGTGAAATCTCCTCTGAGCCAGTCAGCTCTGCAACAGCTTGGACAGTATCTTACATTAACAGGTTTTCAGATGACTTATGTTATGAAGCGGCGCTTTATAAATAAAATTGAAATCCAATTCATGATCACCATGGCAAAAAAAAGGCAAGAACTGTGAGAGCAAGTTAGTTTAATATGCATCTGTCAGGCTATTAGCGCAGATTTGAGGGTTGAAAGATGGATTCTGACTAAAAAAAACTAATTCAACGCTAATTTTCATTCATTTTGGAAAATGCATTTCAACTTTGAATTTTTAAACTAAGAACATTTAGGCTGAAAGTTAGTAAATATGAAGGTAAATGCTGGCATACAAGAAGTTCTGGAGTGTTTATTACCATACAGCTCCATACAATCATCCTAATTCAGCTACGAAATCAAAGTTGTTTGCTCTTTACTTACAAAAAGGTACATTTTGTCTCCCATTTCACGGAAGCCTTTTATCTAGTAGTATGCAGCACATAATTAAGCTGTTACAGCAACAGAAACGACGGTAATTACTTGTCGCGCAAATCCATTTCTCCATCCAGCTACCCACTGCTGAAGTGGATGTTTGGTAGACAGGAACACAATGCACTTTGACAGACGAGACAGAGCAGAGACCCTAAAAAACTATGATGTGATAAACAAGTGGATGGCACTGCTTCACAAATGTTCTTTTTCCTTCAATCAATTAGTACTTTACAGAAGCATGTCTGCCACCTGAACAGAGTTGCATCCAAAGATAGAAGTCTGTCCTTGGTTTAATGGTACTAAGTAGTAAAAGGATTTTAGTGATCATACAGTTTGTCTCACAATCAAACAGATGCTTTACTATTTCTCAATAGACAGTTTCTACATCACTAAAAAAAAAAGGAGCTGTGAATTTCCACGCAGGCTACCCGAATAACGTATTTTCATATTAATTTTGCAGCCAAGTGAGACTTTATCCCTCCGGCTGGATCGTTGTCATGCAAAGCATCCGAGGAATACTTTGAAAGGAGAGATTAGAAGTTTTCTATCAGCTCACTACGGTTTTCAAAGGCATGTACAGACGACACTACAACTAGCGTAATACTGGAAATAGATTTATCTATCTCTATTAAACTGTTACAGCCATAAGCAGTAGTTCTATCCAGTAATGTTACAGCTATTGTTCTCACTACAGCCTTGCCATCAGACTTATGTAAATCTTACTGGGTCATGAGCTGGCTAATTGCCACAGAGCCGCGCGTGGAAAATCAACTCTGGCTCCTTTTCCCACATGACACATACTCTGAAAGTTTTCTGAACATCTATAGAGTAAGTTGACTGTGAGAAATGAGCTTTAAATGAACCTAACATCAACTTTAAATCTGTCTTATTATACCCGGATGCCTTTGACTTGCAATATTTTCATCTGAATGGCCAAAGAGAGAAAAAAAAAGCACTCTTCTGTTTCATCACCAACTATCACAGAGCAGATCAAAAGAAATTCTTTCGAATTATGCCAGTCTATTGAGTTAAATAAGTATCCAGACACAGCAAGAATGAGGACATCCTTTGTTGAACAAGGTGGTTAGTAGAGAATCTAAGAATTCATTGTGATCAAAGAAGAATGGGGCGGGTGGTCAAGCAAGGCCACGCTTTAATAAAGCCAGAGATCTACTGTCTGCCTTAACACCATTTAAATTACCTGAGCTGAAAGGACCCAGTGTTGGGCTCCTTAAATCATAGCTCCCTGTGTCTTGCTGTGTTTATAATCAAATGTGTACACATTAAAGAAGGTAAATCCAGCCTCTGCTGAGAGCTGATTAAATTACAGTTCCTCGTTCTTGCGCTTGCAGCACAACAGCACATTCTTCTACAACAAAACCACAACATATTCTTTATTGTCCTTCATGCTTTATTGCCTTTTCTGGCAACTGGAACTGTGTATTTAGGTTAAAAGGCAAACCTATCATAGATAGATGACAAAAAAAAAACAGTGTGGGGGAGACATGAGCAACAGCTTAGCGTCCATTCATCCAGCTCAGATTCATTTAGCCTTGCTTATATTTCTTTACACACACTGCAGATTAAGGTGGTGACCACACAGAACAATCACTGTGAGATTGTGCCAGACAAACCGACTCAGTGTACCAGGGCTTATCTGACCCAAGTGTGACAACAGGTGTGGGTCTACACTCTGAGACAAAAGTGAGAATAAAAAAAGTTAAACATAGTGGGTGTCACAAAAAAAAAAAAAAAAAAAGTTAAACATAGTGGGTGTCACAAAAAAAAAAAAACAGTTGAGCTCATTACAGGTGCACCTTTTAATGACAAAATAATAACTCTGGGAACAGCTCATCTCTGAGTAATCACCCCCTCAGACGGTACATTTCTCCAAACCTGACAAACAATACGGGTTGTAAAGCAAGCGGACGACACGAACCCATCACCCCAAAGTAGTCAAGAATAAAAGCAAAGCAGTTAGCCCACAAAAGCCATCCTGACACACATGCAGTCCATAATTCAAAGGCATATTTTGCATGTTCTGTGAAATGTTCACAACAAGCGCTTCCTCTCGTGAGACCTGAGGAGCCAGCCTACATTAGCTTTCAGAGCCTAACAACCAGCAACAAGTAAAAAGCATGCCACACCTCTTGTGTACCACAGGGAGCAGTCAACCTGTTGACTCCGAGGCATCACACTCAAAGTATCAAGGGATAAAGCACCATTTAAAATGCTTTTCCATCAGATTGCTAATTGCTATGGGAACTGTATCATTAGGAGTTGAAACCCCAGATGTAACGACCACTACTACGGTCTTTGTTGGAAAAGAGTTGCACGTATAAACTAGACAAAGAGATCATCAGACAACTATTGTCTCATTATTTTCTCTACACGCTCAGCTATGCACTTAGATGTTGTAATTGTAAATGAAATGCCACCAGGGAAAACAATCTATTCTGTCTTTGATCACTAACTCTAAGCAATCAGCTCTGCAAAGCTACAAACTATTGACAACACCACATAAACAGACAACACTGAAGAGCAAACATTTGTAACGCTAAAGAGCAGACATCAGTAAAGACGATATCTAACCAGTATTGTGTCCGCTTTTACATTCATATTGTACTTCTTACATGCACAGTCAAGTGTTGAGTCTGGCACTTTGGTAGAGGATATGAAATGCATCTGATAGACAAAATGTAATGGCTTCACATGTACTCCCTCAAACCTTTTCGGTTTTTCAGACTCTGATTTTTCTGGTTTTCAAACATCCTTGTAGAGTGCAGGCCGATTTAAAAGTCTGCCAGATTGTTACATTAATGCTCTAATATTAGCCATCTTATGAATTCAATGCTGCTTGCAGCTACCAAGGTCCACTACACACATCAGCTCTCAGTCTTTTGAAAGACACAGTTGAATGCATGTGAAATTACTGCAAGTATATGTTCAAAGCCTGGTAGTCAGTAAAGCTATTACTGAGCGAGAGCCATCGCTGAGCTAAATTTTAACTATAGAGGCTCTCCAACCGTTGAACAGATCTCCAACCAGCAACTGTTGGTGGCGTAATGAAGGTCTAGTGAAGAACTAGCCGCTACCCTGAACAGTTAGTCATTTGGCTTTGTCGGATTGAAAACCATTCAGCAGTAAAACCTTACAAAGAAACCAATGCTAGGACTGAAGGACAACGACTAATGTCGTCTCCTACCGTATATTCTCCCCCACTGACTTTGTGGGGCTGGTGTTACTGTGACAAAGCAGAACAACAAACAAAAAACCTGGGAGACCAGTTACTGTTCAGGTCACATGTATTACAAGACAGCTGCTCACTCTAAACTACAGTTTCTTCATATTAGGATTTTTCAATTCACACTGTGTGGGACACTGATATGCACACACAATGACTACGCCTGATATGAATTTGTTTTTATACCATGTGACTGATAACTGCTAAGCCTGCATATATTGCACCTACTCAAGTATATTTTGTGCCACAAAGTTATTCACTACATCACAGTCAGCAGAGGTAGAGGTTAAGTGGTTTTAATTAAGGTCATAGCTGTCTTGTTTCAGGCATAATATTATGCAGTTGTTCCAATGCAGTCAGACCCGAAGAGGGCTTGATTCACCTGCACCGGGCAGCATCTGCTCTGGTAGAAAGTGTGTTAAACTCAACGGACAGCAAATGAAACTGGCACTGAAGAACAAATCTAACCGATATGTACAGGAATCAGTCGGACTGTACGTCACCCTCATTTGTTCACTTCCTACTTACAGCTGACTTCCTTGAGGTTAACCTGCTAATCGTTTTATGAAATGACCTGACAAGCAGATGACGAATACGCATTATTAGAAAGCTGTATCAAGGTGTTAACTTTCCCATTAAGGCGTTGTCAACACCAAGTAACTATCTTAAGAAACTATGGCAAAACCGAGTCCACGTCCTCAGCACACTAAGCTAGCTAGCGTTAGCTTCATGAGTATCCAAATGCAACGCTGACTTATGGCTGAAATGTTTACAATTTACCAAATGTTAGGAAAGTCTAATTTTATTACTAAGCACGTAGCCAAAGGCCATATGCTTAATGTTGCTTATATATTGAAAATTACAGCTATCAACCATCGGCTAACTACGAGCTAAAACACTGGTATCTAGAACGAAAGGGCAAGATATTGGGTTGGCACTACAACAGTAGCTTCACCTTGGCTGACATTATTTCGTTAAATTTAAGTTTACATCTGCACCGTTATACAACGTTGTCGAAATGAAACCAGAGGCCATTACACCTGACTCTGATCGCCGATTGATCAGGACATGATGCAGTTTAGGCCTTCTTGAAGCATTTGGATTATCAAGCTAGCGAGTCCTCTGTGGCGTTAGCTAGCTACCTGACCATTCGTTTGTTTCTGTATTACCTAATCCGAATACTATCTGAATTAAAGGCAAATGCGTATTGTCTAAACCAGCTAGGGAGATATGAAATATAAAATTTCCATTACGTGCTGTCACGATGATTAGTGGACAACCACACAACATACATGGCTACAGTGCTTCACATCCCTAGCCCCAGCAGGTAGTTAGCAAGGCTACAGCTATGAGGCATGCTAGCCATGCTAGCTAAGTTAGCTGCTGACAGGCACAACCCCGGTGCACTGAGGGCTGCGACTTCCTATGCAGCGCCACAGTGAGAGTTGTCAACGTACGTACAATGAAACCACGGACCATTACTCGCACGTAAAGCAATTTTCACACATTTCTGCCGACATATCATTCTCAGAATGTACTTACTAGCCGTAATGATGCCAGAAAATAGCTGGAATCGTCTCTATTAGCAATGGAGGGAGGAACACACTAGACATGCAAAATGGTGGCTACTCCAGCCTCAGCACATCTACCGCAGGCGGAGGGTTACACTGACATCTCCCAGAGGTTTGAGAAAGAAGCGCAAGTTTGTCATCAGCGCGTACAGTAACGTTAGCTCAACTAGAGGACTTCATCAGTCTGTTCTCTGCCCGAGACTCCCACCTGATATGCCCGTGTTCACTGGACACCATGGGTAATAGTTGAATTATGCCTTCACTATCACCAGCGACATAGCTAGGGGACTGTACCGGTGACTATTTACTAATTGCCGTCTCGCTAGTGAGCTTGTTCGCTTCCGTCGTTCTCGTATTAACCATAAAGGGCTAACGTTTTTTTTTTTTAACGTTAGCCTGCTAGCTAACGTTATCCCATTGATCTCATTGATTGAAATAACTGCGCGTAACGGTGGCTTTCTGTCGGCGCGTCGTTGCACGCCATGTGTCCGTCGTTAAATAAATGTTAATTTCTTGACACGATGAGATTATTTTGTTGAGATGGCATATTTTCGCTTAACCTTGCGGAGGAGTACATTTTTAGTCAATGTCGTGCTGCGGTCAGTTTACTCGTGGCAGTCAGTGATGACGACTACATGCAATGTTATGACATTAGCGGTCCACTGGTGCGCAGCGCCCCCTGCTGTCGGCGCCGCGGTGCTGCACGAGGCGTCCGCTTTTGTAGGCTGGGCTTGATTAATGGTTTATTAGCTGTTAGATAAGGCAGGTTTGCTTTTAGGTCTGAGTAAGCAACGTTACAAAAGCGCTCTTGGATACAGAGCTAAGAGCAGTCAGGTGTTCCTACTGCATTGGCTTTTTTGTTTAAGAAAAATCTCCAAAGGTGCATGTTTTTATTGGGTTTTGGTTGCTCTTAATAGCCTTTGCATTTTATAATTGTTATAATGTGTTTTTGAAATTCCAAGTTGCTCTGCTGTTTTGCCTTGTTTTCATATTTTTATTCATTTTACAAATTAATTTTACACGTCTTTATCCTGTCCTGTTCTTTGAATATATTTTTATTTGTCGCATGCTTGAGCAGTGAAATGCAAAGTGACTGTTCTCCAGGCTAACACTAAGACATTATATCTGCTGTTTAAAAACATGAGCAGCACTTTGGTCAACGTGCTGTATAAATAAACCTGATTGGATAATATTCAGATTGGTAATGTGATTGGGATTGTGCTCACTCTGGGACAGCATTCAAACTCACGGAGTAGCAGGATTACTCATGCTTCCAACAACATTAAACCCAAACGTACGAGCTGTATCAGTGACACTCCCCTGCTTTGTGGAGTATAAATACGTTTAGACAGTAAACACTGAGTGATTTCCTGTACAGATGAAGTAGGTGCCACGGTTTTTCTGTTTCAGCGACAGCAGCTGGACTAATGCTAACTGCAGTAAACAAATCACATCATCAAGGAAATCATTGTTTTAAATATTGGTGACTTTAAAGGGTATTTACTGTTGAAGACTGAAGCTATTTAGGTGAAGGAAAGTGGAGCAGACTTTGTTTGGTTTATTCGGCTGGTCCACCACATTTAGTCCAACCTGTGTCTTTAAATGCAGCATTGAAGGCGGATGTGCTGCTGTTTTCTGTTTGGATTGTGTTGCGTAGACAGCCAGAAGCTCAGCAACTTTAAATGAAGTCGTGCTTTTGTGTTTTCTCATTCATTGTTCAAGTGCTGTTCTTCAGATTCATAGTGGAGCCGACTCAGATTTTGCAGCAGACGTAGTTTAAAACTGGTTTTATTAACCCAAAGAAAAGCATCGACTGTATTTCATTCATTGGAACGATTAATCAGTTGTTGCTTGTGAACATGACGGACTGTTGAATAAGAAAACTGTTTCTAAGGTGCATCCATATTAGGTGCAGGTACAGTCGTATTTGAATATGTGTGTGATGAGTATTAGTACCAGGGTGCCATTGCATCACGTGTCCACCAGAGAGCAGTAACACGTTTTATTTATAGTGAAACTTGGTGGCAGTTAATTGACAGTCAATTTGAGGAACGTTATCTTTGTGTTGTGCTTTGTTTAAACTAATACTGTTCACTGTGTTGTTATCAGATGTAATGTTTTTATATTGCTCATGTAACGTAGAAATCATCAACATGTTCTTCTTTCTCCATGCAGGAGATAAATGTGTTTCTGAGGCTATGATATACAACTTCCTGTTGTGTTGTATGTTTATAGGTTTGTCTGATGGCAAGACGGCTTAAATGTGACGAATGTAAAGTATTAGTGAAAAAAAAAAAGAAAAAAGAAAGTCTATCTATCACTTTTCTTCATTTGGGTAATACTGATACTGAAAAACCTTCTTGAGAAAACACAAATTCTGTGTTTTACTAGACTAATAGTCCAGGAAAATCATTTTATTTATTTGATTTGACAAAACAGTCTCACCTGAAGGTCCCTCACAATCCAATAATTCATTTTATACAAAAAGAAAGAAAAAAAAAAAGCAGCCTGTAATATTTTAATGTACTCAATCCATTCTTTTTAACAAAAAGGAGTTTGTATTTGTTGTTGGAACACAGCGCATCATCACAGCAAAATGGACGTCATGAATCAACCAAATGTGCGTTATATTAAAAACTAGAGGACCCTCAGTAGACGGATGTCGCTGCTCCTGCCGGCTATGATCACACTGAGCCCCAGGAAACCATTACTCTGTCCAACTTATGACAAAACAGGTGTTTTCTTTCACTAATCATGGTTGGCTGGTTGTCCAAGGTGAAATGGGTACTATCAGTGTATACACTACATGTTATTTAAAATATAATGGCAATACCAAAACAATGTGACCTAAACAATGACCTTGAAATATCACCCAAGGTCAAGTGTTCCATCCCCAGTGGGAAGCCTCTGTATGGCTTCCGATACAGACAGTTCACAGACAAACACACTGTGGGACTATACTTGCCCCTTGTTAGGGGCAACTATAGTTGACCAGTAGACCCTCAGTAGAGGGATATAGTTGCCCCTGCCGGCTATGACACGGCATTTTTGCAACAGTGGCCTTTGACCTCCAGCAGAGTTGTTGTTGCACTGATCGACCCCAGATTGTTCTGAGGAGAGGCCATTTCTAGCTCACCTGTAAAATATCAAGTTGTCAGACCTCAGCGGTCGAGCTAGAGACTGTTCGCAGACAGACGGACACACAGATGGGACCCATTACTCTACAGTTGCCCCCTGGTCAGGGGCATCTATAATCATGGGCAGATGGAGAGTGGGGTCATAGATCTGAAATCGGGAAAGAGTCACATATCTACGATGCAGAGGGTTCATGAGGTTTTTGTTTTTGTCCTGCTGTTCCTGAAGGGCTCAAAGACGTCAGTGGAGGATCATATAAAGTCATATTCATACGTACGCCCATCAGGAGCATCACGAGGCAGATTGTCTGTCTTACCATGTTGTCTGAAACGATCTCTTCGATGACAAATGGTTGCGTTGTGGACATTGGAGTGCCTGGCTACGGCTCTGGTCTCCAGCATGGCCACAGCCTGCTCTGGTCTCTCTGTTGTCATCGCTGCGTCATTTAAATAAAGCAGCGTTTTAAGATGGCCTCATAGTGACCGTTTAATGGAAGGACAGCGTGTTCTGATCCCAGTATCTGATAGTCGTCCTTTACAGCCACACAGGACCGTAGTGGGGATTGGTTGAAAATGTTTAACAGTTTAACTGCTCAAAGCTTTTTGGTGCACAAGTGGCTGAATTAAAGCCGTTTCTAACCAGAACACTAGAAATGAAATCTTTAACTTTTTGTTCAGTGCGTTTTCTTTAAACCCTCAGAGAACACATTAACCCTCATTTTGGATTTATAACAAATACAGAAACACTTGAAATACGAGGAATCCACGGCTGTGTCACAGAAAGTGTAGAAAATAAATAAACTAATACAAACAGTAGAAGAAAATAATAATAGATGCTTCCTTGTTATTTACAGGTTTTTATTTGTACAGAAGCTGCATTCTTCACCGTGTATTCTGAGTATGATGCTGGATGCTGTTGTGACCTCGTCTGCCTGTCAGTTGTGCTGCTGCCTGTCTTTTTAATCACAATGAGCCTTGTGGGAGTGAGAAGTTAGTTAAGTTAGTCACTTAAGTTAGTGAAATGACTGCTGATCCAGATATGCAAACACTTCTTTATTTAATTGCTTTTTTGGATCCTGAAGAAACGCTCGGTCTCGTCTTGTTTGTCCTGTACAGCAAAATGACAACAAACTTGATTTGATTGATTTGATTTGATCAATAAAAATTCAAGAATTCAATAATCAGGAGCTTTCAGGGATCCTGATGATGAATATTTTAGTTTGCTTCAGTGTTGAGGTGTGTTTAGTGGTCGTGGGAATTGATGGTTGATTTTAAGACAGTAGTTTGACAAAATGATTCACTTACTGTTGTCTTATTACTTATATCCACTTAATATTTAATACGTGTAAAATGCTACAATAGTTTTTGTTTATTTGGAAATAATTACAGGAGGTCTTTCCTCCTGACAGCAATAAGACTCTTTAAGAATCAGAATCAGCTTTAATGGCTAAATAAGTATGTACGCAACATACAAGGAATTTGGTTGCAGCTGTTGGTGTCGCACCAGGAATGAGCAAGGAAAAGAATAACAATAGAGTAGAATAACTATAGAAAGAAAAAAAAAATAATAATAATAATACTAATAAATAAAATAAGATAAATATATACAAGAATATGAACGTCTAGCAGAAAAGAATATATGGCCAGTGGTTCAAAATATGACAGTGCAAATAAAATATAATAGCACATTATCATTTGCACATTTCTGTATCTCGCTTATATATTCTTGTACATTTCATTGACTTTCTTCTATATTATATTTTCTATATTTTTTTTAAATTTTACCTTCATTTTTACACCCTGCCCTAATATTCTGTGATGTCTTTTTGCTTTGTTTACCCGATTTGTTGAACAGTAATGCTGCTGTTACACCTGAATTTCCCTCTGAGGATTAATAAAGTCTAAATCTAATTCGGATAAGTTGGGACACTAAAAGCACAACATCCTAAAAGTTGAGCCAAGTAGTAGATATAATTTTATTTAAACAACTTTTATATTTACATCCTTTTATTTTACATTATGATTTAAGTCCGAGTATTGTGTTTCCGTCGTGTTTTGGTTTTTTTTTCTCCCACACCACGTGAACGCAGCGCAGTATCTTTAGC